GATGAAACGGTATGTTCTAAATCCAGGACCTCTGTGCCTCTTGTTGATTTGGTAGCACCAATTCGCGTTATTACTTAAAACAACGATGATACAACAATGACATACTCAACTAATTATACAATTAAATTCAGACATTTAATTTATGAAAATTCAATTAAAAATACAGCACGAACTAGGCTACCTAAGAAGATTGCAAAATGATACATGTTTACATTTTGTGCACATGTATAAGGGATGTTTTCGTGTTTGTGTAACAGTCTTCCCTTTAATCCTGAAAATCCTGGTCTACCTATCGATGTTGTCATGCTATGGAAATATGTTATTCCCAAACAGTATCAGATCACATTTGAGTAAGGTTGACCAAACACGACCGGAACGAAATACTATTATAGTGGGGTGGGTTAGCTGAAAAATATTTCACATCTGGCAACCAACGCGCCCCTTTGGATTCAGATAGTACATGCGTAGACGAGTCCAAAAAGCCCGGGACACAAATTTTTCGGGCACTCTATGGGTGTTGATGACGTAATCAAAATGGCCGCCAAAGTTGTGTGACATGATTCTACATTTCCCTATATAACTCGGGTTCATATTCTAATAATGCCCTACATTTTTAGTGATTATTAATCACGAAAAAATTACCTTTCCGATGGTGTACTTTACTTTATTGTTTAGATTCATAATACTACGAATATTTATAGTTTTATTAAATATTTTGTTTTTTATTTAGATTTTTTTAAATCATTTTGCTAAGTGTCGTGGATTCCGTTACACGTAGCTGAAAACGTCTTACATACACTTGTTTGTCAGAATATTACCTTTCTAACGGTATATATAACTTATATTTTAATACAAAAACACTGCTTGAAATTTGCCACAACAATGTAGTGGTACACAGTGAGTCGTTATGACAACAATGCAATGTCTATGGGTACCGAAAAGTAATAGTGCTATTTAGGGCTATTAAACTTTTAATTTCGTTTTAAAATTAGAGACAATAAAATTAAGTAGAAGAATTAAATTCCCCCTGCTGCAGCAAACCTACCGACTAAGCGAATTTCCATTTGTCTGAATTCATTTTCAATTAAATATATTTTAATAGCATTAGCTTTAACGAGTACCTATGTTTGCTGCTACAAGGAAACTAATTCAGTGTGTTTTTTAGTAAAATATTGATAACTTAGTATAAAATAAATAAATTTGCCAAGTTTGATCGAAATATATCCATAAACAAGCAAACTACTACATTTTACAATATTGTCCATAAGAATAACATAGGAATTTTAAATTTACAACTTTTTAAATTTTCTCCATTACCAATAACCGAACAAAAACACTTTCATATACTAAATTAATTGTTTTTTAAGCTCTTTTAATAGGTCTAAAGAGAAATTGGGATATTTTGCGTTTTGAGAGTCAAAAGAGAGAAAAACAATTTTTACCCCGCAAAACCCCCGTAAAGCCTCGTTCCCATGGTCCTATTATGCTGGTTATGCTGGAACTCATTCAAGTTAAACCCGCTTTACACCTTTAAACCAAATTTTTATTAAAATCGGACAAAAATTACTCAAGTTATCGCGTTCACGGACGTATATATACAGGGTGTCCCACGAAGGGTTTAAACGTTTGATTTTAGATTACTTGCCCATTTACGCTCCGAACATTTTGAAACTTTACACAATCTATAAAGTACATTTTAAAAATATTGTGGGAAAGTTTCAGCTCCCTACCTCTTGTAAAAACAAAATCGGAGCATATTGAGAAATGATGTTTTAAACACATTAAAAATAGTATTTTTGGTTTTGTAGAACATTTGTATTAACGCATTCTATGGAAATATAAGGCTTTTTCATCAGGAAATTATACCATAGCCTAGTGAAAACCCTAAAGTAGATACCAAATTTATTGTAACTGTTATTCATCACTAGTTAAAAATTAATAATAAATTGATTTATATAATATAATTAGTTAATAAAAACATTCAATACGCCACAATTTTGTTTCTACAAGGGATAGGGAGATGGATCTATCACAGACATTTTTAAACCTTCTGTACTTTATAAATTGTGTAAAGTTTCAAAATGTTCGGTCCATGAATGGGTAAGAAATATAAAATCAAACGGTTAAACCTCTTCGTGGGACACCCTGTATATATATAATTTGAACGAATGGGTTTTTTGGCCTCTAGGAAAATCAAAATGAAAAAGTAAATTGGTCCCGGGTCTAGGTCTTACCGTGCCACCTACGGTAATAGCTACTTCCCTATAGGGAAATTCGCTAAAACAAAAGAGTGTACTCTATACAATATTGTTTAAATTTTATATCAAAATTCATAAATATCATATACATCAAAAATATAATCCAGGCTTAAATCAAACAGATTAACCCTTAGTGCCCATAGACCAAATCTGTGGGCACAGTATTATAAAACATCAATATCTGTATAAATATAAATTATGTTATATATAAAATATATCTAACCCATAAATGGGGTTTTAGGAACAAATTGAGTAATTTTTGTCCGATTTGGATGAAATTTGGTTTAAAGGTGTAAAGCGGGTTTAACTTGAATGAGTTCCAGCATAACCAGCATAATAGGACCATGGGAACGAGGCTTTACGGGGGTTTTGCGGGGTAAAAATTGTTTTTCTCTCTTTTGACTCTCAAAACGCAAAATATCCCAATTTCTCTTTAGACCTATTAAAAGAGCTTAAAAAACAATTAATTTAGTATATGAAAGTGTTTTTGTTCGGTTATTGGTAATGGAGAAAATTTAAAAAGTTGTAAATTTAAAATTCCTATGTTATTCTTATGGACAATATTGTTAAATGTAGTAGTTTGCTTGTTTATGGATATATTTCGATCAAACTTGGCAAATTTATTTATTTTATACTAAGTTATCAATATTTTACTAAAAAACACACTGAATTAGTTTCCTTGTAGCAGCAAACATAGGTACTCGTTAAAGCTAATGCTATTAAAATATATTTAATTGAAAATGAATTCAGACAAATGGAAATTCGCTTAGTCGGTAGGTTTGCTGCGGCGGGGGTATTTAAATCTTGTACTTAATTTTATTGTCTCTAATTTTAAAACGAAAGTAAAAGTTTAATAGCACTCAATAGCGCTATTACCTTTCGGTCCTCTTATAAATTCCATCGGGGTGATAACGACTCACTGTGTACCACTACATTGTTATGGCAAATTTTGAGCAGTGTTTTTGTATTAAAATATAAGTAATATATACCGTTAGAAAGGTAATATTCTGACAAAAAAGTGTATGTAAGACGTTTTCAGCTACGTGTAACACGATCCACGACACTTAGCAAAATGATTTAAAAAAATCTAAATCAAAAATAAAATATTTAATACAAATATAAATAGCCTATTCGTAGTATTATGAATGTAAATAATGAAGTAAAGTACACCATCGGAAAGGTAATTTTTTCGTGATTAATAATCACTAAAAATGTAGGGCACTATTAGAATATGAACCCGAGTTATATAGAGAAATGTAGAATCATGTCACACAACTTTGGCGGCCATTTTGATTACGTCATCAACACCCATAGAGTGCCCGAAAAATTTGTGTCTCGGACTTTTTGGACTCGTCTACGCATATACTATCTGAATCCAAAGGGGCGCGTTGGTTGCCAGATGTGAAATATTATGGTGTAATTTGTTGCTAACCCACCCCACTATTAATGATAAACTATAAATAAGCCATATACAATTTAATTCAACGGCTCTTAGGAATGGGATAGTGAGAAATACTATTTAAAACCAAACCATGGTTTTACTGTTTGATCATATATATAAAGTAAAAACTATTGCGAAGTATATATCCCAAACGAAAGTGGCAAAATATATGTAACAGCATATGGAAAACTCAAGGCGTATAAACAGACGGATGAGGCGGGGCGTTTACAGGAAATGCCTGTTGTGATTTGAATGCAATACGCTAGTTGACGCGCTACTGTGTACACTCAAAGAGAAATACGACTGTTTCATTTTGTCGCGTATGATATAAAGCAATAACTCAGCAGGTTCTGCCCTTTTTTGTTCGGGACCCATAGCATGTGCATGCGCGAGTCAACAATGTGTTTCACATAATTGCAGTTTTATTGTTAACTAGGTAAATATAATGTTTTTGTAGCGTAGAAATATGACCTCGGTAAGGCAAATCAATACTTGCACAAGCTGACATAGAGCCGAGTAATGACTAATGAGGTTTGTTCACAGGACAGAGCAACGTTATTTTCGTATTTAGTTTTACAGTTGAAATACTAAATAATTCAATATTAAAAATAAACCTTTTGACAAAGAAAGCGTGTCCCTTCCCTTTGTACTTAAGTATAAACACAGAATATGAATACGGTTTCCAAGGCTTTAGAGGTGTGCATACGTTTGTCCACGAATTCTAAAAACCACATTTGTGAAAAATGCAATATTTCTCAAAGCTTGATTGAGTAATACAATACCACGGCTGGCGTAGAATGACTTTTGGCCACAAAATGTATCCACAGAGAGAGAACATACGAATTAATGGGTCCATTATCAATACAGCAAATCCCATGTTACAATGAGGATTAAGGGGATTAACTCTCGCCGTCCGTTCTTTCTTATAAAACTAATATTGTATCAATCCACCTATTAATATGTTGGCGTAGCTCACATGCTGAGAATTAGTTTTCATTCGGTATATTCTGGGAATTCAGTTGGTTTTGTGGTTTTCAAAACCTACCGGTAAAATTTATAATGTTGAAGATGAACACCATTTAAGATTTATTGCTTACACATTTGTGCATCTATTTTTAACTTTATTATGTGGTCTAACGTGTAAATCAGCAAGAAAGTATTACCAGACTTGTTCCCTTGTTTGTGATATTACCCACTATAAATGATCAGGGAAGCGAAAGTCAGAAAAGCGTGGGGTGCATTATATTAAACAGATATTCGTTTGTTTAGGACATATAGTTGGTTAGTTTACATGCACTCACCCAATGCTTGACACTGGAGTATCTTGGTTCTGCCCTCGCTGACGATGTTGCTGGAGCCGGACGGCTGAGTGATGAATCTGGGAGCTTGGAGAGACTCTGCAACAGACAACAGACGATCAGCACGATAGCCACACTATACACAATACACATATACACATTAACACATACTGATGTTGGGTTGTTTATTACATTGTTTCTTAACCTAGTTTTTATCACGTATATGTAATTAAAATTATGGATGGAATGTGTTAACAATTTTTTACAACCTAACCTAACTTAAACAATTTCTTTAGAAGGTTGCATTTTCTTGATTGTTGAATACCCGAGTGGAGTACAAAGTACCGGACGCTAGAGTTTTGGTTATGCTCAAATTATTACAAGCCACTCTCTCAGTTTTTACTACGTTAAACTAAACAAATAACCTTGTGTTCGTTCTAACACCTTGACAACTGACGCACCAGCCTTACAACATTCGTGCATAGAACGTCGCCACAGCGGTCTCAAATACTTTATTACGTAGCCTATACGGAATATATTACTACTGAGTATCCTTGATGAAACGACTGTTAAAACATGTTCCATTATTATATTGTGCTTCCTGAAATTTCAAATTTGTTTAAGCATCTTTGTTAACAACTAATGAATATAAAAAACGTGTATGAAAAACAGCAGTTTCTGACAGCAGCGCAGGCCTGTGTGTCAGTGGGGATGACAAGTGGCGGCGATCTCCTTTGGTCTTGTTTGTCCCGCTAAGTGGCCTCCCCTACCCTACCCATCCCTACTCTACCCTACCATTCCTTACCATCTATAATAATCTCGACCGCTCTTGGCTGCTGTTATGCAATGCCTTCACACCAATAATATTATTATATTTTGGCCATTAAATTGGTATAAACCACTCCCTACATAAAAGATACAACCAGTCTCGCATAACGTTTGATTTAAAAGAATTGAGGAGACAAGAAGTGCATTGAAGCGAATTGAGCATTTTATTAGGGTTTTAAAACGTCCCCCAGGCAAAACAAATAATTGAATACACTTTTACTATTAAAGATTATGTATGTTTAATACTAGGAGATTAGGTGAATAAAACTAATAATTCGCCATGAGTTGATCAAGAGTGATTTACCTACCTCAATTATTAGGTTACTCTTATCAAAAAGTAACCCATATAAAATCCATTTTCAAAAAGTGTTTTGTCTCGGGCATAAAATGTGACCGAGGTCAAATGTTAATAAATCAAACGTTTGATAGTTAACAGATTTTAGAGAGCATATCTACTAATGCGGTAATGTTTTGAATCACTCTTTGACAAGAATTTCTTCGATTTCAAGGTAAATACGCTATGCCCAAATATAACCATGTAACATGGGTTGTCCCTTATCAACGAATTAAGTACAACGATACAAAATTATGGGGACGATATTTCACAAAGAAACGATAAAACAAAATGATAAGTGACACTTTTAAACAAAGATGTGTCGTGGACGGAGTTATAGCGAAGATAACGACACCTTGAATAACGAAATAAATACGCAAAAAAATTTAACATAGTTTGAAGTCTCTTATGAACGAGTATTATATTGAGATGTTGTAATTATGCAGCTGAAAGTAATACGTACGATTTGTTTAACAGATGTGAACGACAGAAACAAAAAGACTAGTGCAACTCTTGAACGATGACGGACGTCGTTGTAGCCGGGATAAATTCTTGTGTGCATATTTATGAGCCACTAAGTGGTTGCCGGAGCGGAGGTACTAAATACGAGTACCTACATATTTAAAGAACAGCTGGCTACGTGTAGGCCTACAATGTCGAACTTGTTCACCTACACAACTACAGTAACAAGTAGACGGGGAGTCTGTAGCTGTTATTGCAGTATTGCAGTTGTAGCAGGCTTGCTTATAGTGGACAGGTTCAAATGTATATTAAATGTTGGTTGTGGAACGTATTGAACTATACCTAAACATTAATATACATCAAGCAGACAAATTATTTATAAGTACATACAGAGTGTATATAAAGTTCCGCATCGATAACATATAAATCAATGAGATTTAGTAAATCAAAACGGCACCTAAAAATCAACTTTTAGAAGGAACTGTAAGTTTTATGTCATATCATGGGGAAGTCCCGCAAGGAGTCAGAAGGAAATCTTAAATATGAGCATAGGTTGATATGTACATAGAATTAAATTGCTTTATTAGCAGAATACAATGCTGCAAATGTTAACTCAAAAACGGACAATCGAGTCAAAAATGGTAGTCGTTCAGAGATATCGCGAATCTGCCATTTTGAATCTTTGAACGGCTGCTAATGTTTACTCAGTTGTTCTTTTGAGCTTGAATTTGTGGCATTGTAATCTACTAAAAAAGACCTTTAATTTTATGAGAATATCGACCTATGCTGACTTTTACGATTTTCTTCCGATTCCTAGCGGCTGAGGAGGTAGCATTGCAAATTCAATGAATCTGTGAACTGCTGTCATTTTTGACTCGGTTGTCCGTTTCACATTCAATTTGCGGCATTATAAATACTCTGATAGTAAAGACCTTTAATTCGTTGTATATATCAACTGAAACCATGCTATGCTTAGATTTAAGATTTCCTTCTGACTCCTTGCGGGACGTTCCCATGATATCACAGAAAACTGATAGTTCCTTCAAAAAGTAGGTTTTTAGGTGTTGTATTAATGTATAAAATCTTATTGATTTATCTGTTATCGTTTAGAAAATATTAAGCCCGTGCGGGACTTTATATATACCCAGTAGAACGTCAGCACGTACCACCACAGTAACACGGGTGGTATTAATATGCACACAAGAATGTATCTCGGCTACAGTCGACCGTCATTGTTCTGAAGTTGCATTTATTATTTTTGTTTCTGTCGTTTCTCTTTATAAAAAAATGTACTTTACCTTTTATCTGTGTAATTAAAATATATCTTAAATATTATCGTTTATCAGGGATTTAAAAAAATGTTGAATTGGAAAAAATTTACGATTAGTAAAGAAATTGACAAACACTCAGGGTACATTGGAGCACTTATAAAATGTCGTTGTATTTCATTGTTGCTCCTTTACTGGACTGTGGTAAACAAAACTAGGGGACAAACACAATACACTCCATTAGCTGGCAATGTGCGTGGTGAAAACTGCGACCATAAACCTTCTGATAAAACTGCGTCTGCCGCAACTGTGACCATACACCACTTCCCACTGTCGGGGAATTCATACACAAAAAATAATAGTTTTAAAAATAACAATAAAAATCGCACAATAGTTGGAAATAAATATTTTTAAGAATTAAATTGTGTATTGATGTAAAAAAACATTAAAAACAGTACCAGATTATTTAGAATGGACTGTAACCATTTGGGATAAGTATAGTATTTTATAGTTTTTTAGTAGCCCATATTAAATTAATTGAATAAAAATAATTGATTATAATTATTGCAACGACATTATATCAAACAATGTTTTGAATTGAAATTAATTTTTTGAAATTGTATAAGTAGACTTCAACAACAACAAACACATTTCCCCCTGAATTTACCTCCTTTTCAATGTTATTCTTTCAAAAATGCATGATTTATTGTTGCACACTAGTTAAGTGTTACCAGAATAAACTAAATACAAAAAAACCTACACTATTCCTTGGGTAAGATTTATTGTTCAACAATTTCCAGTGATTTAAAAGGACAAACGGGTTGATAAGAAAGGTACGACTGCAGTGATTTCAAACACAATGTTTGCGCAAGGGTAATACCGATTAGATAAGGAGGCTCATTAAATTTATGGGTTCTACTGAGAAAGCCTATCAGAAGGGCTAGCCGGCCTCGTGTTTGGATTTACGTTTACAGTAATATTTGAAAGTTGTGTTTTCCAAATCTTTACGCCATTTGGGGTGAGGAAATATAACCTAAGAATAACTTTTGTATATAGACTAAACAGTAAAGTTTTTGTTGGATGTTTCTCAGAGTGTACAACTGTTAAACAGAACAACGTACGTTTTTGTTGCCCAGGTTTGTAAAGATCGCCGAATGTTTCAAACGATGTTCAACATAAACAAGACAGACACAGCGCTCAGTTGCTCAATTGCATTGTTGCCGAAGCTTTCCAGTTAATAACGCATCACTTCCCTATCTCTTTCAGGTCCTCTTTATACTCTATCTATATCTCTCTGGCTCTGTTGATTTTTCTTATAAGCTTGTGTTTAATGGAAACCAGAAACAATTTCGTATACTGTGTCCAAATATGTGTTAATTAACAGTGAGGTCCTAACAAGTTTTTATTCATTAGAGTAAATTAAGAGAAACCCAACTAATGAACTTTAAACGAGTAAATTATTATAGTAGATTATAGTAGATTATATTTCATGAAACCTTGCACATGCACAAATTTTCCATTAATTGATTTTGTCGAGAAAGCTACAATGAAAGAGTATTGGTGTAACCTCTCATCGTCTGCCGTATAGAAGAAAACAGTAACAAAAATGCATCGCAAAACTTTGAATACCTAACGACTTGATTATGCGGATTAACAATTGGCATCACAACTTGATAATTAAAGGAATTGAAGATTTACCGGTAAAAAAAACATTTTACTCGTTCACTCATTGCTGTTGACTGGGTATCTAACAAATGTTTATGAATGTAGTTTGATGAATAGTTTAGTAATGAATGATAAAAATGTATCCTATTACTTAACATCTTGAACTACAACGGATGGGTTGGCAAGGATGCGATTTGTCTGTGCTATTAACCTAAATAATAAAATAATTAATCAGCTAATCTAATGTTATTTACTAGATCCTACATATTTTTATTACGTCATTGTAAGCTGAGGCATCCTTTTTACAAAGATAAATGCAGAATAGACTTACAAAACAAGATACGTAAAACATACAGAAATACAGTATTTCCGAAATAGAATTCCAATAGGACTTGGCTTTTACCGGAATATTGGCCCTCTGGCTATTTGCGTTTCACTTATTCGAGATCAATCCCCAGCGCTCAGTCTCTGTGCTGTAAACAAATATATCGGAACATCCTGGCCAACTCTGGTCCTATATTAGGCTTCCTGTTTACCAGCAG